GAATTTCTGGATCCATCCTAAGAGGAGAACACCTGAATGCCTGGATCCATTGTAAGGGGACAACACCTGAATTTCTGGATCAGTCCCACAGCAGAACCCTCGCAGCTCTCCCAGGCTCAGCAGGGAGGTGCAGGCCGGGCACTCACGTGGTAGAGGGGCACAGTGTTGTTCTCTGCCAGCGAGAAGCCGAGCACGTCCTGCTGCCCCGGCTCCATCCTGATGCTCATGGTGGAGGCCAGCACCGAGGGGCTGATGGGGAAGCCGGGGGTCCCTGGCCCCTTGCCCTTCCTCCTGGACCTCCTGGCCGTGTCCCTCTTGCTGTCCTTCTGCGCCAGGGGCTCCTCCTGGATCACCAGGATCTTGTCATCGCTCAGGTAGCGCAGCAGCGAGTTCTCAGAGTCAGTGGTTGGAGGGGGAGGAAGGGAAAAACAAATATTAGGAAGAGGAAACAAGCAGAGAACCGTTGCATTTGCTGGGAATGCCCCAACAAAGGCAGGAATGGTGCATCTGACTCCATGTTCTCAGAAGGCTAAGTTATTATTTTATAATTATTATTATATGATAATAATATAAAAATTAAAATAAAAATGCAGGAATGGTGCATCTGACTCCATGTTCTCAGAAGGCTAAGTTATTATTTTAAAATTATTTTTATATGATAATAATATAAAAATTAAAATAAAAATGCAGGAATGATGCATCTGACTCCATGTTCTCAGAAGGCTAATTTATTACTTTACAATTATTATAATAATAATATAATAATAATATTAATTATTATTATATCAACTACAATATAATCTATATATATTACAAATATATCAATAACAATATCATCTATAATAATATAATATAAAATAATATAATAACATAATATTATAAGAATTATTATATTAACTATATTATATAATAATATATTAATTTTTCTTTTATAGTAATATTATATTAATAATCTCAATCTTATTAATATTAATAGCATTGTATAGTTATTATATACTTATTATGATTTATAATTATGACTATATTGTATTAAAGAATACTATACAATACTAAAGAATACAGAAAAGATACTCAATGCTAAAAAGATAATAATGAAAACTCCTGACTCTTTCCAGAGTCCTAACACAGCTTGGGCTCTGATTGGCCAATGAGTCAAAATAATTCACAGCACAATCCAATGAAACAATCACTTGTGTGTAAACAATCTCCAAACATATTCCACATGAGCACATCACAGGAGAAGCAAATGAGATAAGAATTGTTTTCCTTTTTCTCTGAGGCCTCTCAGCTTCCCAGGAGAAAAATCCTGGGTGAAGGGATTTTCCCAGAGAATGTGAACGGCACAGAGAACCATTTTTGGCTGGGCAGAGACATCCCTGGCCCCTGTTAAACTGGGAAAATCCTGGGAGTGTCCAGGGAATTGTGAGGGCTCTCCCTGCACTCCATCCCACATTTCACCATGGCTGGTGAAAGGGAGCAGACACAGAAAATATTTCTGGCTTGTATCATGCAGGGAGCATCTCTGGGACCATTCCAGACTCCAGGATTGTAATTTCAAGGAATCTGACAAGCTGGAATAACGGTTTTGAGGAGATGTGCAGCAAACTTGGGCACAGTTTCAAAATGGGAGCTGGCCAGGCAACAAGTCTGTTACTGTCTGCAGCAGTGAAATATGAGCTAAACACACATCAACAGATTTGGAATAAATCAGAAAAGGTTTGTGCCTTAAATGAAATTTATTTTCTTTTGGAAAGGAAGTTTACTGAAAAAAAAAGTAGTTTAAAATCCTGTATTGATATTCAAGAATATCATTCATTTTTTGTCACATTTTTAGGAGTCAAGTTGAACTCCTCTCAGCTTCCAGACCATGCCTAAAAGATTCTAAAAAATAGTATTCAAGGATCTTCAAGAGTCAGTGTCACAATAAATATGGTTGTATATTTGAAGAATATTCTTTGGAATTGTATGTTTTCTTTTTGCCAGAGGAAGTAAAGGAAAAAAAAACCTGTGCCATCACTTTTCTTTCTTGCAAAGTTCATAATTCCCACTGGGATCAATGAAGTTTTTGTTTTTAGAACTGCTGGTCTGAACACTGACAATACAGTTGCTGATTCCTGTTCCAAATTTTAATTCATACTGATCAAAATGTTCTCAGAGGATGCTACTTTACATCTGTAACATCACTTACTGTTTTCTAGAGCTGTGCAGATTTGGAACTGATTGCTTTTAACACATATCTGAGCCTTCAAAGTACTTTTCCCCTTGATGTTTATGTTTCTTTATACTAGAATTAAATTCCTCCTACTAATACAAATTTTTAATTTTCAGAAATAGAAACAGAAAAGCACAGACACTAAACAGGCTGGTTTAGATCTTCTGTGACACTAAAAATAATTAAAAAAAAAAAGAAAATAGAAGATTTTTTTTTCCTGTGATGCTCCTTAAGCAACAAAGGAAAAACATCTTGGAGAAGAGGAGAGAAAAGAAAATACTCACCTCTGCTTCCCCTCTTGTACATGTTCTGTTCTTTGGGCTCCCCAATCCAGCTGTACTCAGTGGGCATCGAGACTGGCCTCAAATCTCCTGCAAACAAGGAAAGGAAAACCAATGGAATTTTGGAAGGTTAGGAATGGCAGGCTGTGGGGTCAGTAGTGTAAATTAAATAAATTCCAGGTGTGACACAACCCCTCAGAGCTGTGGCCTTCAGGATCAGTGGGACATCCCAGAGCCTCCTCTTCATCACCCCCACCTCAAGGGAGGCACCACCAGCTCTGGTGAAATTCCTTGTAAATGTAAAGCAGATTACAAATTTATTTGAAAACTCTGCTCTGTATGAACTTCCTCGCTCATTAAACAGGTGTTGGGAATAAAGAGAGAAAAAGATTTTAAGTGGAAAAAGCTGTAGGAAAAGCAGAGAGAGAATTAATACAGATGCAACAGCACAGATCTGTCAGGGAAACAGAAACCCCCCTGATCTGGGAATAAATTCAAGTGAAGATCAACATAACCAAACTGAGCAGTTTTTCTGTAAAGAAAGGAAGGATCTGAAGCTCTGAAATGATTTATACACAAATACAGATACCGCAGCACAACAGACATCAGAAATAGAAATTCAGGACAGGAATCACACAAGGCAAATGAACAAGTGATTTTGTAAACTGCTTATTTCACTTCCAACTCCTTTCCCAATGAAAAGTAACCTATAAATTGCTTTGACATTGCAGCTTGGATATTTTTCTGAGAAGCAAAAAATTGTTGTGTACAAGGATACCAGAATAAAATGAAAGAAAAAAATATATTTATGATGTTTTTGCCTCTAACACATAAATGGAAGAGGTTTGAAATGCATTGCCACAAGAGCTGTTTAGACCAGAGCATTTTAAGTCAGGAAAATAACAGAGAATAATGTTAAGTAAAGCAAAAAATGCATTGCAACGTTGCTAAAAAAAGCTTAATTTTCATAAATACATTGGAAAAATTGATTTATTATTTATCTTCTTGTATTTTGCATGTACTGTCAATACCCATCACCTGCCTGAGTATCCATCCACCTGCACAGGAGACTGATTTCTAATAATGGCTGGAACCCTGCTAGGTCCAAGGCTGGAATTTTGGAGCAGTAGTTTGTGTCAGCCCAGGCAATAATCAAAGTGGCTGCTTGGCCATGAAAGGCCTCAGAAGTTTTATTTTCATTTCTTTGCTCATGGCTCTGTGGTTCCAGCTTCAGTTTGCTGGAGCTGCCATAAATCCTGTCTTTTTACTGAAAGACACATTGTCACTGTGGTGATGGATGTCACTTCTCCGTCAGACAGTACAAAACCTTCCACTCCAGTAGAACTTCATTTGCATGTCTGGTAATCAACAGATTAATTAAATCTGTATTTAAAAGAAAAATCTGGTGTAGCAGTCATATTTGAGAGAAAGGCATATTTCAGAGACTTTAAAACCAAATTCCTTCTGGATTTCAACCAGAATTGTCCATCATAGACAAAAAAAATCTTGTGTACTCTTGGGTCCAGGCAGGGAACCCAATATTTTAAGTCACCATGCAGGAAGAATTTATGAAAGCAAGGCAAATACACCCATCTGGCTCCAATTTTAATCACAGTTAAGATTTCTCCTTATCTTTCATTCTAATTCTGTTTTAAAGTGATGTCACTTCCCAAGGAGATAAAGAGTGAACATTACTGGTCCCAGGATGGAATCCTGTTCCTCAGCATCACAGCTTTTCCAAGCATCAAGCAGATGACTGAAGCAGTTACTAAAAATACCCTGCCTATAACCAAGATTTATTAAGATTTTCTCCCCTGAAAAGGTTCTGTGTGCACACACACACACCATCAAGTCCATTTTACTTGCCACTTTTACCAGAAATCCAGCTGCAATCAGCAAATTACAGCAGCAGGAGGGAAGTTCTGTGTGACTGCTAAACACAAGATAAATACTGGGAGCAGGAGGCAGAGAAGCTGCATTTCAGAACATCCCTGGTAGCAAACCCCACACCAGACTGAGCAGCAGAATCAGGGACTGCAGGGCTTTAGGAATTTTCTTTTTTCCCCACTGTGCTCCCTTTCAGCTGCTGTTGGATCTTCCACCAGAACCTCTCTGGGGACTCTCTCTCTCCCCTGAACTGCAGCAGGATTTTAGTGCCTCTGTTCTTCACTGGCACATTTTCCTTCACTGCTCTGAGCTTCTCAGAGGTTTTCTGAGAGGCTTCCCCTTCCCTAAATTTCAAAGACAAAAACTTAGGGAGTTGTTGGGGCTTTTTAAAAATGAGAGGAAAAAAAAGATCTCAGAGTCGGGGAATAAAGGACTTATGGATGGCTCGCCATATATAAATAAATATCCATATAGATCTCAAAAGATAGCAGCTACCCACAGAGAACACCGTGGTCTTTGCTTTCTCTGAGGTACAGAAATAATGCCATTTTCCAAATCAGACATAATTCCTGTTTTCAAAAGAAATTTCCTATCTGAAATTTGTAAGCTTTACAAGACTCTCCTAGTGCCTTGAAAATAAAGCAACTGAAAATGCACAGCCCATACACTGCTGTGTTTCTGCAGTATTTTTCTCAAATTCATTAAACACCAAGCAATTCAGTGAAGCAAAAAACCCCAAAAGTTATTTTTTAAGAATACCTTTTATATAGAACCAGAAATATAGATCCATACTCTTGTATACAAGCACGTGTGATTGTACACCTGCACACTCAAAAGGGATTTATGTACACACAACATTTCTATAGAAAACCAGAATTAATTATTGTTTAATAGCATTTTATATATTTAGGCTTCCTGAGATTTTGAAATACAGTTCTAGCTCTAATGAGTGCATTGTAGGCTACTCCTCATGCATTTAATGCAGTGCTGAATTTTGGAGGGCCTTCCATCTTACAGACACTTTCACACCACAAGGTATTTCCTTCACTGAAGTTTAACAGCCCAGAATATTGCAAGTGGAATAATCTCCAGGAGTTTGGATGGGGAAATTGAGTAAATAAAGATGCTGGCTATTCAAATAATATGAATTTAATTACCATTCAACGTTCCAGAATGAACTGTATAAATAACTGTATAAATAACTTCTGACCAGGAATGTTAGTGTGTGATATTTCTAATTATTCCTTCATGTGAAATTCTGTTTGTTGTTCAGAGCCAGCAGGTCTGATAAGAATGGCAGATTTTGGGGGTGTTGCAGAGCTCAGAGCAGAGTCTGTAAAGCAGGAGCACGGTGGGAAGTGCAGCCTACCATGGGTTGGGGTTTTCTCCCTTCTCCTCACGCCTGGGGCTCTGCTCCTCTCGTACTCGGAGCCCCCGGGGTGTCCTTCCCCCTCGATCAGCGTGTAGAATTTCCCACTCTCGTGCTCCAGGAAATAGTTTGGAGACTCTGAGCCCTTCATCCCAGGCTTTCCAAACTTGCTGATGTCGTCACAAGACATGATTCCAATTTCATCCCTAAAAACAGAAGATGATGGGGAAATGAACCATTTAAGGGAAGCTTCCAGCGTGCAACTGCCTCTCCCAAATGCTACAAATAAAAAGTCTTGCAACTGAAATATTCACTTTATAAATGAAGCAATTCAACAAATGTAAATTAACAAAATCATCATTAGGTGCCACTTTAATTGTGAGATAAACATTCAGGAGTTTTGTAGGATCTGAAGGGGAACATCAGGAATTGTTTTAATATGAGCAGACAAGGGTTTCCCTTGCAGAAATGCTCCAGAATAAGATAGAAGCAGACACATAAAAGTAAATCAAACCAACTGTTTAAAGACTTCTTTAAATACTTTCTTGATTTAGGAACAAACCCACATTTTCTCAGCTAAGTGAAAATTAAGTCACTCAAAACAATAATATGGTGCTTAATGTATTTTTAGCTCTTAATTTTCTTAATTATTTACCTTGATGATGGGTCTGTTCATTTCGGTTTTGTTTTATAAATCTAATGAAATCAACGTGTAAAATTTTATTTTTTCAAAACCTCAGATTCCTTAGGACATAAATACCTGGGGCCATAAAGTCCTGACATAGGGGAGAGAATGAAAACATCCTGGAGTGCAGAGTTGTCCATTTTTGAGGGCATGCCCATGGTACTCGTTGGGGTTGTAGAGCTGCTCGTGGGGCTGGTTGGAATCACAGGCTGCAAAAATCCAAAAGGCACATGAAGAATAAATTAATGTTTTCTGTGCTACAAGAAACAACAAAATCAGTGTGCATAATTTTAGGAGTTTTGACCTCTTTTATTGGATTAGCCATTTTTTTAATTTCTGGAGTTTCTTCCAAAAAAGGTGTCCAGTGAAACTCTAGACTTCAAGAAAGTTATGAAAGAAACTGATAAACGACCATTAAATTAATTTAAAAGCCACCTCAAGGGAAAATCTGAAACTCAATCAAAATATGATCTTTAATCAATGCAGAAAATCAATTATCTGAGGAGAAAGGACACACTGTATTAAATGCCATTAATACAGAAGTTAATTACAGAGCTCTGGAATACTTGCACTGAATGAAATGATTGTGTTGGTTTCAGTGGAAGATTTATTGTTAGCAAGGACAGAACATCTTGATTTTTTAAGAGAGCAGAATTCATTGTCCTTTGGCTTTATAGCCATGATGATACAAATGTGTGTTCTACAGTAAATAGCAAAGAAATAGAAATTAATCTAAACAATAAATGAATGTCTTTTAAGATTTTTACTTTTTAAACTTTCACATGGCATTGAACACAGTTGTTTGATTCAGATGTCACAGAGAAGCTCAAGCCAATGGTCTGCAAGGACTAGAAGGATGATAACCAAATATGCTGGGCAGGATACAGAGATATAAACAAAGAATATTTTTCAACCAAGGTTCAGTCTGTGTTGATACTCAAGAAATAGGAAATATTTTTATTTATAAAAGTTATGTTTAAATAGATAGAACCAGTTTTCTACAGGTGGAAGGAAAAGCCAGTGACTCAAAACTTGGATGAAAGGTATAAACACTGATCTTTTTCTAAGTAAAATGTTTTCTGTCCTCCAGAGGTAAACACTGAAATATTTTTATGTGGTTCAAAAAGTAAAACCAGTCCTAAATACCAAAAAATGATGGTTTTTATAAGATTCTCATTCTACAAAGAGATCAAAATTATATTAATTCTCTATGCTTGTTGATAAAATAAATAATAAATGGTGTAATTGTTCTGGATCAATTAGTTGTGACAGAAGGATTATTCCAATTTGAAAAGTTCTCCAAATAAAAAGAAAAAAATACAATATATATTATATTTTATTTGAGTGAAGTTGTAGGGTGCAGAGCCCTATTTGCCATTGCCAATTAAAAAAAAAAAAAGCAAAAAACATTTTGTCCTGAGTGGGAAAATAATTAGGGAGTTTAAAATTCAAATAATCTTCCACTATCACATAATGTCAGCCAGAGACAAAAGGGCAAAAAAATGATGTCACAAATCTCACAGAAAGATAAAAGAGCACAGAGCTGACAAATGGAAACTCTGCTGTTGTAATTCAGCATCAAGGAAAACCCTCCAAAGCGAAAGAATATGACAACAAGGCCAAGTAATAAATTTTACAAGGCCTCAGAGATTCTGTATCATCAATAATTCATAAATTACCTATGTGGTATAATTTTAAACTTAATTATTGCAGAAAAAATATTAATAACCTCTTTAAGTGCCTTAAGCAACAATAGAGAACATGACAACTTTTATTTAAAACTTCCTGCTGTGCACCAACCTGAGGTAACAAATATGATTTCAACTTCTTAAACCCTATTTCCTTTTTGCCTTCCCTAATTATGTACTGCTTTTGTTTTACTAGTTTTGGGGTTTTTTAACAGCAGCAAATTGATTTCCAGAAAATGGAATGATTTCCATTCTATTTTAAATCAGAATGGATAAATTGCTCCACATGTGGACACAGGAATCGATCTATGGGGCGCACCATGAAAACAGCACGTGCAGAGAGATGCATGGATCAGGAGCTGGAAATGCCATGAAATACAGCACACCCATGTCTGTTATCCCTCTTTGGTGACAGTCTGACTTTTGCTGAGCTGTTTCCCTCTCAATCTGCTTTCTCTGGGGTGTTTTCCTGCAGTTTGGGGCTGTTTGGCCGTTCCCTGTCCTGCTCTTCCCTCGCTGCGAGCCCTCCTGTCTGAGCTGTGTTCTCTGCTATCCCACAGCCTGTCCTGCAGGATCCCATTTAATCCATGAGCAGCAGAAACTCCAGAACAACAAACAAAAAAAACCCAGAAATTCTCCTACAATTCCACAGCTCTAGAGTCTGAAAAATGCCAAAGTCACGGAAAGGTGAGGGCAGTGCAGCCAACAGGAGAGGGAAGTGAGCTCACTGCTTCCAGCAGCAACAAGCTGTTGTGTCAGCTGTCCAGGAAGCACAGGCTTCAGAGGCATCTTGAAATTTAATCAGGCTGCTTCCAAGTCATTACTGACAATAATAAATAACACCAGATCCAGGTGAGAGCTGCGGGAAGCAGGCAAACCCAAACCTGCGCCCTGACACGGATCCAGCTCCTCACACTCGAGCTTGTCTCTGCGGCAGGAAGAATAAAAGATCTAAAACTGGTTTTCCATGCCTCATAACAGAATCTACTCTCATGAAATAACACTGGCAGGGCTGGTTTTGTTTTCCAAAGAGGACTATATTTTTATTTAAATGCATCACCCCACTATTCTCTGATAAATAAGGAATATACCCCAGTAGGGAGATGCTCCAAGCACCCTTTGCTTCTCAGGGGCTCATCAGAAGAGGAGACATCACAAAACCAGAACTGCTGATAATTCAACAAAAGCAGCTTGGTGCACTTTCAATTCTCTGGCTACCACAACAAAAGTTGCATTTTTGATGGCAAATCCATGCATGCAGTGTGTACAGCACACACTGCTCACTGTGCCACAGCCTCACATCCAGAGCTGCCCCTGAATTATGATTCTTTAATGCACAAATATAAATGTATATAACGTAGAAATCTAAAGAGAGGATCTCTCTGGAAGCCCTGTGCGATTGCAATTTCCATTTTGCTGCCCCTGGAGGCTCCATCTGAAGTTCACAAGCAGATACGTGAGCATCTTGCCAGAGCAAAGGATGTTATTCCTGCAGTGTTGTGACAGAAAAATCCCCTCTGGGGGTCCCAGGGCCCCGTTCCTCTCCCCCAGGGCAGGCACAGAGAAGGAAAGGTGGCCCTAAATCCCACTGCCAGCATTCCTGGGCTGCAAGGATTGGCACAAACTCCTTCAGTGAAGCCACTGTGCAGGATTCAGGAACTCTGAGAAATGAAAAAGTTAGAAAATGCCAGGCAGGGAGGAAATCTGCCTGGATAAGCTTGAAGGGGTTTTTTTTTTGTTTCATTAATTTAAAAATCATTCAGAAACACATTCATGTATCATGTGAACCAAATAAAACAGCTCTGAGAAGCTTCCACATGATGGAAGCGCATCAACTTCTTACAAGATGTTAAAAGGCATTAAAGACAACCATCAACAGTTACTGACTTACTGGCAAGCCTTTCCTTTAAAAACGACATTTTGAGTACAGATTTTCCTGCTGTAGGAAGGAGCAGCTCTGATGTTCACAATTGTCTTTTATTTTTTTGCATCTGCAGGTTTTCAAGGACTGAGTACACAGAAAATAGCAGAGGTTTTGTCATCCCTGCTGCCAAAAACTCCACCTGCACGAGAGGTGTGCAACAGGAGCAGGGTTCTCCTGGAATTTAATGGATCTGACACACTTGATCACAAACAAGTGGGTGACAGACTGTGAAATAATGGAAATAGGGAGGCACTGCTGCCTCTGCCAGGCAGAGCTGCCACTGAACTTTGTTCTTCATAAAACTTTCTGTAAATGTTCTTTCCTTTCTGAATTCCTGCGGCTCCCAGAGTCACCAAAATATGGAGAAAACAACCTGAGCATTGCCACACTTGTTTATCCCAGCACTGTGCTTCAGAGGAGTTTGGGACGGCTCCTGTTCCCTTCACTGGAAGGTGAAATTGCAGTGTTTCCTCTTGAATAAAGGATTTACCATGACATTGCAGCACCACTTACCTGCAGGGCCAGAGGCTTCCACCTGACATTCTTCAGAAGGGCAGGAGCAGAAACCAGGGTATTCTGAGGACGTTTTTTCAAGGTTAAAATCACTCCATTTGGGTCTTCCCACAGTGCATTTACTAGGTTCTTTAACTGCCAGCCAACCTAAGGAAAAAGTCCATAATTGAATTTTGAAAGCTTTCCATTTAAGTTGAAATGTGAAGGAAATGTTCTGTTAACCAGCAAGGTCTATTACAGCCTGCTCCTTGCAAACACAAGCGGTTTTTATAAACCCTGTTGCACTCAAATCATGCTGCTGCAGCTGGATTTTTATCTTTCTTTTCTTTAGTCATGTTCCTGAACAAAATAAGGCAGAAGTGAACACTGTCACCCTTTCAATAACTTGTGAGATCATGGAAAATTTTAAATCAGAAGGTGAGGTCTAAAGTCATGAAATCATTTCAGTCTGAGCTCTGAGTTTTAACAGGGAGTGCTGAGGAGGGAGTCGGACTGTGCTGGAACAACAAATGCAGCATGTATGTGAGAGCTGCAAGCCCCTGCCTGGAGAGAAATGATCATTTATTGGTTTATCTGTACAGTCCTGGGCACAGCTGAGCCTCCAAGTTACTGTAAATTGCAAACAGAGCCATAAAAAAGGAAATCACTGGTACTGTAAGGATGTGCCACTCAGAAAAAAAAAAACCCAAAAAAACTTAGAGACATTTCTTAATCAACTTGATTATTTAAATAGGAATTTTGAATTATTATATTATTATGAATTATTTATACACAAAGCAAGAAAATTTATTTTTAGGGCTTTTCTCTTGCCCCTGCCTTTTCTGTCCCACTCAGAGCAGATTTTAGAGCAGTAGTTCATGGCCATGGTAAAGACCTGCCATAAATGCTGTGACTGCCACAAATCTGACAGAGCTGCACTGCAGGAATTGGGATGCTGTGTCCACACAATTCCCAGACAACCTTCCCAAGCAGCTGCACCAGCCCTGACATGAACCTGTGAGAATGGAAAGTTCAGTGAATCCCAGAACAGCACCAACACATGCAAGCACTAAATATTTTTATGCTGGCCATGTTAGACCTGCCAGGCTTCACCAATAACATTTTAATCATAGTTTATCATCTGACCAGAGAGTGAATTCCCACTGCTATTAAAAAGCAGGACAATAAATTATTTAGGTGCTCAGGCACAGAACATCTGCGTTCACCCCCTTGTTATATCAGGTGGAGTTTGTAATGACTTCCTCTTAGAGGAAGATAATATCTGATTACAAAAAGGTGAAGGGAAAATAGAAAACAACCTCCAAGAGATTGGAACTAAAATCCTTTCCTAAGAGCTGGAGAGAGTTTGGGATATGACTGTCAGGTTCCAAGCTGCCTCCACAGAGGGCCAAAGCCAGGATCCCACTGTGAGCATCCCCCTGGGACAGAACTGCAAGATGTGTTGGAATTCCAAAAAGGATTTTTAAAAGCTTTTAAAAGTTCTGTTCTATTTTTAATGCTGCTGTTCTATTGAAAACTTTCTAAAAATGCACTGGCCACAGGAAACCAGACAACAGCAGCAATTGTAAATAGGGCACATCCAGACAAATGCAAGGATGGCAACTTGCATCCCAAAAAACTCCTCCAGTTTGGGCTGTGTTTATAAAAGCACAGGGCCCATATTTTTTTTTTTCTTTTACTCAATTACAGAAATGAAGTGGAACTCTCCCTGATTTTTATAGATTGATGTAATTTTCAGATTGCCGAAATCCTTAGAGTTCCATGGGCTCCTTTTAGAAAAGAATGATAAATAATTAAGTGAAGGATAAATTATTCCAATGAGAACCTTAATGACAAAACCATTAAATACCAAGATCTATCAGAGCACCGTCTGCACTCATTACTACTGGGCAATGATAAAATGCTCTCAGGAATTTGGACAACTTATTATAAATTGTATTGCTAAAAATAGCTTTGAAAAAAGAGAAGTCATTACAGTGGATTAAAAATCTTGGTTGAAAACCAGTCCTTGAGTCAGATTTTGACATTTACTCCTAAAGAATCAGTCTTTAAAGCAATTACTGATTTCTAGCTCTGATAAGAAGCATTTTTCACAAAGGTGTTTTGCTCCTTTAAGATTTTTAGAACATAGAGTCAAAACTGAATTCTACGAAATGGGTAAAGGTATTTCAGCAAGGAACATTGGAACATTGAGGAAATAAAAGACCAATGTGATACTTTTTATTTTCCTCCATAAATTAAAATGGATGCTAATTTAGATGCTAAAGATGGCAGAAACACAGAAGAATGCAAAAGAATTCACTCAAAATGGTCAGAGACAGATGTTTGAAATTTTCATAGTTTACGATTAAGATTGCCACAATCATTAAGTTTTGTTTTTACATCCTCAGTGTTGAAAAACAAAATCAGACAAAAGAAACCTGTGGCCTCCTGTCTGTATTAAAGTATTTGTTAGTTTTCTCATAGAAACTATATGGTGGAAAATTAAGAATACAGCAACTTTTAAAAAATTAGTTCCAAAAGTATTAATTGCTAAAACAATAAATTCCTTTACCAGGAAATTCCACAATGCTGAGGTAATTTTGTAGACCCAAACCTGATAATTTTGTAGCTGGGACTCCTTAACTAATATGTTGAGAAAAACATGAAAAGCATAACCCATTTTCATCAACAGCAAAGCAGTGATTTTTAGTTCTCCAATAACCTCTTTAGACTCTCCTCATAATGACTTTGCTCCTTCTCATTCAGAAGATCTGGATTTGCATGAATGGGATTTGGAAAGCATCCTCCCAGCAGCAGGGATTTCAGCATTGTTATAAATCCCAACTCTGCTCATGCTTTTCTCCCTTTTCAAAAGAAAGCCTACCTGCCTGGGGATGACTCACTGTAGAAAAATTTATACAAAAAGTTCCTAATGCTACAGATGGACACAAAAAATATAAAAAAATCAGTGCATTTTTGGGTGTCTGCAGAGGCATGAAGTGCATGATATATTTGTCTATGAAAGGAATTGAGAAAACAGCTGAACTGTGGAACAGGGTGGTGTTTATCAGAGGATTCCAGAGGTCTGGGCCTACAGAGCAGTTATTCACCTCCCTGCCAATTGCTTCCAAACACATTGTACCTATTTATTATAGTAGGAATTCAAAAATAAAAATTAGCTCAGATGGTGGAGCTGAGCATGCACAGGGGACAGGGATCTGCTCCTTTCTCTGCTTTCCCTGAAACTTCTGGGGACAAGGCAGGAATGGGCTCCCCAGTTCCTTCACTGCCTTACCAAACCCTGTCAGGACTCTGGAAAATGGAAAAGTTTTAATACAGAGTAATAAAAGTTTAAATACAGAAATACTGAGTGTCCCTCACAGCAGGAAGGGAGGCTACACCTGAATTTGCCTGGGGGATTTGTGCCTGCTCTGCTCACTGCATCACCTGGGGTAGGGAGACACAGAGCAATAACTAACAGGAATTTAAAAGCTCCCTTTTCAGGCATTTGGTCTGGAAATCAGTTGTGCCAAATATTTTCTAAATATTTATATCCTACTATATAGCACAGCACCTGAAAACAACTAATTCTGCTCTGACTGCACTAACCCCTCACAGGAACCAGGACAGATGTTTCCCCTCATGACTCTTCAAATACATAAGCAAAGCCATCTGTATATTTACTTGAACCTGCAAAGTTTGACCTCTCTTCATATTTGCATTAAAAAAAAAACCCAGCTGGTGTAAACCCAACTTTTTTTAAGGAAGCAGACTATCAGCTTTTCATATTTTAAGTAATTCACTTTGCCTCATTAGGGAATTAATCAAGAGAGCTGGTTTGATTAAGATGGAAATCAGAAATTATTATTAGACAAAAATGTGCTGGAAGATCATAAGACTTTTCTGTCACTGAAGGGGAAGCTCGTCATTAACACCTGTAGCTGATTCACTCTCATTAATATTCGAGCTGCTCCTAACAAGAATTGATGATTTAAAACCAAATGTTCTCCCATTATCTTACAGAGTTATTTTCATTAACCAACGGAGAAACACAGCAAGAATCCAAGAAGGAGCAAGATCTACTGGTGGAAGAGAGGCTTTGCTGAGCCCTTCTGAAAGGCTGGGTCTGGACAAGAAGTGACATGTGGCACTTTGTTTGGAAACAGAAGGACATCTTTTGGGGAAGAAGTTCAAATTCTCATGACAGCTTTTGTCCTTTTTTTTCCCCCCTGCTCGCATTTCCCAACCCAGTGTGTGCTGAAACACAGATGGTGTGACCTGGCTCTGCATTTACAGAATTACCTCCACCTAAAATGAGCTCTCATTAGGACTCATATTTACAATTCAGCAAACAGACACCGAGGGTATTAATTCAATGACTGTCTTCACACAAATAAATTAGTGCTGAAATGATTTCATTGTGCCAGGCTCTTGACACACTTAATTTCAAGCATGTAATTTGACAGTGAAGAGTATGAAAGGGCATTAGGCTGCTGAGCATGTACTTGGAATCAAAGTATATTTGGGGTTTGAAGGGACATTTTAAGGTCATTTAAAATGAGCCAGGAGCAGGGACATTCTCAAGTGGGTGGCTCAGAGCCCTGTCCAACCTGGCCTTGGACACTTCCAGGGATGGGGCAGCCACAGCTTTTCTGGGCACCCTGTGCCTGTGTTTCACTGCAAAAAAATCCTTCTTTATATCCAAATCTCCCCCTTTCGGTATAAAGTCACTGCCCCTCTACAACAGACCCTACTAAAAATCTGTCCCCATCCTTCTTCTATGCCCTTGAAATCACAGGGTCCATCCTTCCAAAGAACAACCTCGAGTGTGAAAATGCAACTCCTTCAGTTAAAACCTGCAGCTGCTTCAAGAGAATATAAGAAACAAGTAGCACAACAGATTTATTACAGATATTTCTGTGGCCTCTGGCTCTGGCACAGCAGTGTTTTATGCCTTGAGGATTTGTTTCTCTTTCTGGTCTTTATTGCCTCTGTCTGTGGAGAAAGAGGAATTCTGTCTCTGCCCCAGCTGGCTGAGTTAACCAAACTGAAATCCTTAAATAATTCCTCTTCCTTTGAGACAGATGACACATTTTCCTTTTTACTCATTACATTTTTTTAATGCTCCTATCTAAGTGAACACCTCTGATAGCTGTGAACGACCTGGAGATCACACACTATTTCAGACAAGATCTTACTAATGTCAAGACAGTGGTATCCAAACTCAGTTTCTCCTGGAAACCTGTTCCTGATTAATTCCAAGTTCATCTTTGCCATTTTCAGTCACATCAGCTCCGTGGTGCTCAGTTGGTTTGGGATTAATTACAACATTCTGACTCCTGGAGTCCTGCCAGGTGCTCCTGAGTAACATGGAGCTTTCAACAGGAATTACCAAAAGCCTTCTTATTGCTCTCTGTCCTATGAAATCACCTTCAAATCCTAACCCTCACCAAAAAAATATAAAAATACAAAGAATAGAAGACAAAGAAATTCAGTTTTCCCTTGTTTACAAATCACTTCTCTATCCAGAAAGAGACAAAATATTTTACAGGTGGTCAGGTAGATGAATCAATATTTATTTAATCTTCAATATTTTCTTTGTCTGAAAAACTATCTAAAAAGGAAAATTAACACAATTTAATTTTCATAAGTTTATGCTGAAAAATGATTACAATGTAAAATCTACTATTACAACTAAGCAGCAAAAATCTCCTAAAAAGTAATTGTTAATTTTGCAAACAAAGAAGGGCTACAGTGGCATCTTTAGTACTTCTGTATAATTTTATAGGAGAGAAAGTAAAACCTACAAGGCACTGGCAGAATTGGTGCCTGTCGTTGGATTTTAGGGAAAAATAAGAGTTAGGGTGGCAGTAATTTAGAATATATAACTTATTCTTAAAGTTTCTTACACTGTTTTATTAAAATCTTATAAGCAAGAAAAAGCAGAAAAGCAAATAAGGAAATTGGATAATGATTAAATGATCTTAATAACCAGTGGTGAATTGCCTGCTTTAATTAATTTCTTGCTTAAAGTACTATTATTTTTTCTTTGATCTTTGTAATTGTATTACAGAGTGTTCCTTGGTTAGACCAGATTCCACGTGGAAAAGCTTTTATTTCTCCCTTTTTCAGTTGTTGCATTACATCATTTGGAAGCAGCTCTCCTTTAATACCTCCTGAACACTTTTTAACTCTCAACTCCATAGAAAAGCTTTTGGAAAAATGAAGTAAAACTGTGAAAAGCTGTGCCCATTCCCTGGGGGATCTGTTCAGTGCCCAACCACCCTCTGCAGGGAGAACAATTCCTGAAATCCACCCTGACCCTGCCCTGGAGCAGCTCCGGGCTCTGAAATCTCATTTTCACTCCTTCAGTTCTGCCCTGCCCATGGGTGAAGCCTTGCCCTGGACAGCTCCATAACTCCTGTGAGAAATGCAGAGTGCTGCAGCTGGAATTCTAACGGGATGCTGAGGAGGGTCACGCATTAGGATGACAAACTGGAAGTGCTCAAATTATCCACCTTACTAAAAAAAAAAAAAAGAGTGATGAGCTAATTTGATTGCATCCTGAAAATACCTAAAAGAGAAACCTGCTCTCCAATTTAAGAGATAAAAATACATCAAGATCAAAGGACTGGAAGCTTGTGCCAGACAAATATAGACTACAAATAAAATGACTTTTTTCCCCCCCAGCAATGAGAATAATTAACTACCGGAGCAATTTATTACAGGTTGTGGGAACATCAATGAAAGTTTTAAAACTCAGATGATCACATTAAATGAATATGAATTTATCCAGAAAATACACTGGCCTAGTTCAGTCAAAATCAGATTTAATGGTGCTGGTAGCCAGCTATGGGATTGGAATTGCTAAAAGGCATCCATGCTTTCTCTGCCCAGGGAAGTGTTTCCAGCAGTGGCAGGAAAAATGACATTTTCTAATCATCTTCAGGACAGTTTATTCTGAATACATTGTGTTGAAGGATTTATATTTGATAAATTATAAAATATTGGTACCAAAATGCTACAGAAACATCAACCTTAAACAAATGTCTTGGTTAGGATAACAAAAATAAAATCTTCTCTGGAAAACCTGTAGGAACACCAGAGATCTGCACGTTCTCTGACCCCCCCAGCCATTATTTTCGATTACACCCCTTTTTATGAGCTGGTCGTGCTAATATTAGAATTTGATTACGTGGAAATTTAACGAGCTGTTGCCTTTGAATAATTCCAGTCCACTAATGGAAATAATGCTAATTATAAGCAAAATATGGATCATGATAACGTGGTAAGTGGGGGGAAGAAGGAGCACAGCTGAGAGTGGTTTGCAGCAATGAGTGCCAGAAGTGACACTTGAAGATCTAAGGGATATTTAAAATATTAAAACTCCTATTCCATGAGGGGTGAGAGTTGGACACACACCTCTGAACCATGCAAACACTCACTATTGCTGCCTGATTTTCCAAACTGGACATATAATGAGACTTTCCCAGCCATTTCAGAGCAAGAATAAGTTTCCAAAAGAACCAGTGCCATTTATCTGTTTCCTTGGCTTGTTAGAAACTTCAGAATGAATAATTAATTTATTATGGGGGGATTTTTTTAGAAAAAAAAAAGTCTTTTATAGCTCTTGACTCAGCTGTTGGTCCTGTGCCCTCAGGTGGAAAGGGATTACAAGTATCAACCACCTTGAGCCTGCTGTAATAACAGACATGGAAAGAGTTGCTAAAAAAGCCAATTCTTGAGAAGCTGAATGGGGGATTTCACCTATGGGAGTAAAGATTAAATCAGATCTGTCACTTGAAGAGTGTGTTTGATGGAGAAAGCCAGCCTAATGCATATTTCAGCCTGTAACTATGACAACTCTCTAATACAGATAAGAGCTGTGTGTTGCATTAACATTTAAAGTGTAAATGAATAAGTTATACTTCTTTTCAAGAGAAAATATTTGCTCTCTAATAATAAGATTTTAATAGCCAGACTTTCATATTTCCACTTCACACAAGTGACAGACAAAGAGAGATTTCTTAATTTTGCCTCTGCTGTGTCTGGAGATGGGGTTCACCAGGACAAAGTGAAATAGCTAAATTAGGAGTTTCTTAGGAAGTTACCATTGTCCTTGTCACTAGTCATGCCTAAGAAATAATAAATACCAGTGTTCCCTTCTCCAGCAACACTGGAACTATTTAAATTATATTTAAATTACATTCTTCAATACTGAGGTTCAGCATCCACCTGCTTATGGTTGTCTTAAAAATAAATCTCCATCCAAGAATGCCCAAACTCCAACCCTGGCAGATTTCTATCAACACTTTAATCATTTTTACATCTTCCCCCCAACAGATTCAGCATACATGGCTGTTACAGCACTTCTGCATTATTAATCTGGATCCTGCATTAAACAGAATGCAAAATTCTGTTCAAGAGGAGAAGTTAAACCAGCTGGCAAGTGCATAATGAGAAGTCTAAGAACTTCAAGGAAATATTCTTGGATCTCCTTATATAAGAAGAGTATGATGTTGAACAGCAGCTGTGCAAAATGTAAATTTGGCTTAATCCTTCTGGGCTGGTTATGGACTCAATTTGGGCCTTTTCTTATTAAGAATAAGCAGTGAATATGATGTTTAAAAAGACACAAATAATAATAATATAGTTAAGCAAAGAAGAATTGGTACTTTTGACCAGCTTTTTTACTTTTCTGTGCTGCAAAGCCTGAGAACAGAATTTCCAGAATACTTACCACAGTTTGGTGGTTGACCTGGATCACCTCATCACCAGCATGGATTTTCTTACACTGGTCAGCAGGAGACTGAGGACAAGAGAGAAAAATTCACTTTACAGGGAGGATGTGGAGGTGGAAGAAAAGAGCAGGAATTAGAACAATGAATGCTGAAAGAGGCAAAAAAGCTGTGCTTTAAGAAGTCTTATTGCTGTCAAATAATGGTAACTGGTCATATTCATAGGGAAAAATATTTTTTCTGGTAACATTTGATGGAGTAATCTAGAATTCCATTTGCCATTCCAACCTAGAATTCCAGCTGCCCTTTGAGGCCATTTGAACTATTCCATTGTGTTTAGCTGAGCAGCCACAACCTTGTTGGGAATCCCCGGGGTGAATCCACATCCCATGGAGTTAAATCTGTTACAACACACCCAGGACAGGGCTGGACCAGCCAGGTGTGGGGCAGAAATCAGGGTTCAGTCCTCTCCAGAGTCACTGCTGAGGGGAACTGAAGATGCTCTGCACACACAGGGTATTTATACCTTCAAATCCAGCTCCAGCACTTCCAAGACAGCTAAAGAACCATGTGAACACAGAATGTGGTAATTTACAAATGGGTGCAAGGGACTTGCTCTTCAGGAGATTTTATGTACACACTATTCACATAATTTCGCAATCCTGGAGCTGAAAAACTCCCTTATCCTAAATACAGCTTGTTCTGAGCAGATGAAAATGGATTAAATCCCATTGAGGAACCACTCAAACATGGGCAACTACTGTTGTACAAATAATTTTTAGAAGCTTTGGTGAGACCTTAAATCTGTGAGAGAAACCAGGGGCATTCAGGAGATCAGCAGTTCTCAGAGGGCTGAAAACTCAAGTAAATTGTTTGCCCTGTGCCCTGGCTTACAAGAATGTTCTACTGACACAGAGCACACCAGTCTGGCATTCAGGAGGAAAAAACCACAAAGAATTCAAGAGCTGAGACACCACCTTGGAAAATAAACCAGTGGAAGTTGGCTGGCTGTTCAGTCAGGAGATTTGGACAAGGGGGGAAATTTACTCCTGAGATGCAGGGTCAGAGAGAGGAGAGGACTGAGTGCCCCTTGTCAAACAGTGCTGAAAATTTTATAGCAAAATAATCCTGCAGAAACAGTTCAAGCTCCCTGCCAAGCAAAGAGGCTCCTAAGAAAGGCAGAAAAGGAGCCCCTTGCAGCTGGAGGGGTTGGCCTGGCTCTAATCCTGCTGAAGAGCTGCACAGAGAAAAAGCTGTTACCAAAATGCAGCTGAGCTCCTGGAGAGCTCCTGCAGCCAGCCTAAAACACAAATTGTTAAACACAATAAAGGAGGCACGTGTCAAACACAAAGGAAGAAAGGATTTATCTGAACTGAAAGTGATGTTCGTGGAGAAGTTCATGGTCATGACCTCACTGCAGGCAAGAACTCCTCAGCTGCACTGTTTTCAGCCCAAAATCCCACTCATTCCTCTTGTGAAGGGAGATTAAAAACATAAAACATAAACAAATAAAAGGAGCAAAGAGAAGAGGAGGCAATACAAGAAAAACCCAAATTGCCACTGACAGGGAAATGACTGCAATTATTTCTGAATCAAATGCCAGAGAGACTCATCCTCCCCAAGGGCCAGCCTGTGCTGCCAGAGCCAGGCAGGGCTCTGGGGGCAGGAGATTACCCAATTATTGATTACCCAACAATCAGCCAACAGGGCAATCAGCCAGCCCTGGACAGGGTGATT